AAGGGGGAGGGGGAGACGGACTGGCACACAGCCTGGGGAGGAGGACCCAGGAGGGCTCGGCGAAGCGCTGCTTTCCACACCACGGGGAGCGCACTGCGGCACGGGCCGTGGGGCCCTTGCTCCTCTCCTGCTTAAACCTCCAAGAGACCCCACTGCCTTTCAATACAGTCCCAGCTTCTCAGTCAGGCAGCTCACCTCGGATCAGGGCCCGTGGCCCCCTGCTGCGCCGCTGCCCCTTCCGTGCCTACAAATCTCTGTGCACGCCCTGCCCTCTCCTTGCAAAGCGCTCCCCTCTCTGAGAGAGCGGTCTCCTCCTTAGGAAGCTGTTCTGCTCCAAAGCCTTCCGGGACCAGTCTGGGGAGGTTAGGCAAGCGCACGGTCCTCTGAAGACCAAATTCTTGCTAGAGCTCTTACGGCTCAGTGATTTGACGCCTGCCTGCCTCTCCCTGAGGGTGCGGGCATGCTTTCCGCGGGGACGTGGCCTGGCTTTTAGGGATTTTTGTGCCCCTCGGTGCCCAGCGAACAGTAGGGCACCACGAAGAAAGCCGATCAGCAGAGCGGGTGGCCGCCCAGACCTTGGGGCTCCCCTTCCTTCCCGTCACTGCGGTCCAGGGGAGCACAACAAAGACTTCTCTATGCATTCGCTTCTCCAAAGGGACCATCACCCTTTGGAAGTTCAAAGACAAACTGATCTGGAGACACTGCAGAAGGGAGACACTGTGGGCCACTCTTCTCTCAGTAGGCTTGTTTCAAGCCACCGTGTCCCCTAAGAACCCGGATGAGAGCCGTAACCTCTGCGGGCGATCCAGGCGACACCCTGAGCGGGGCTCAAATGACGCCACCCGCCCCCAACCTGTGCCCATATCCCTAAAGAATTCCGAGGTATTCTCACAGCCGGAGCTCCCTCTGGCTCTGTCTTTTCAGGCTAGTGGCTCCGAAAGTGGTCCCTGGACCCGGGGCACTGGCATCACTGGCATCACCCGGCAGCAAACTGTTAGGAATGCAAATTCTCAGGCCCCACCCCAGACCCACTGAACCTGAAACTGGGAGGCTGAGGGGGAGCGAAGGGGGGAGGGCAGGGCCCAGGAATCTGGGTGTTATTTAGCAAGCCTGCCGGGCGATTCTGATGCGCACTCACATTTGGGGCCCACTGGTTTAGGCTTTGGTGGGACCACAGGTGTGGTCTCCTACGATGCCAAAGTGTTCAAAGCAGGAACTAATGAGGAAGACTGAACACAGGTTCACAAGGACATCGAGGTGTCCCTGTAGGCAGAACTGACTAAATGCAAGGATGGAAATGCCGGGCGTCACCAGCTACTGGCCATGTGTGGCTGTGAGCATCTGAAATAGGGCTATGGGGACTGAAGAACTGAATGCTTATGTTGATTTGGTTTAAATGCAAAGTGAAATAGCCACATGTGGTTAGTGGGTACTATTCTAGAAGGTGACAAGACTATATAAATTGTCACATTCAACCTCGTGGCTAAAATCCCAGCAATAGAAATGTTGAAACTACACTGTCGCTGACTCTGCCTTATTTCTTTTCTTTTCTTTTTTTTTCTGTGTAATGTTTATTTATTCTTGAGAGAGAGAGAGAGAGAGAGAGAGCACAAGCAGCAGAGGGTCAGAGAGAGGAAGACGCAGAATCTGAAGCAGGTTCCTGGCTCTGAGTCGTCAGCACAGAGCCTGGCGCAGGGCTCGAGCCCACGAGGCGGGAGATCATGACCTGAGCCAAAGTTGGACGCTTAACTGACTGAGTCACCCAGGCACTCTGTGACTCTGCTTTATATCTTTGAACACTTCTGCCTTGCACACAGCTGAGGCCCGATACATATTTGGCAACTGACCTAGGATTAACCTAGTTTTGTCTGTAAAATGGAAGACACTGATTCATTCATTCATTTAGTGTCATCAACGATTGGCTGTTGATGTCAAGTTTGCTCTATGAAATTCATGTCTTGAAACTTTTCTGGAAGCAGTGGAAGACTTCACGTAAAGTAACCTTCTCTCTGTAAATCTCACAAGACGTTAGGTATACGACTGGACCCAAGGGTGAATCAGAATTCTGGGGATAGTAAACCATGTCATAGTTGTGTGCTCCGCACTGTGTCTTCAGGATTTGAAGAAAAAGGACATGATACAAGTCAAGGGCTGAGGAACTTCTCTTTGTGGTGACACACATCTGTTTCAGGCCGCACCGCTTTATGCCAGGGGTCCGTTCAGGCAGGTGATGGGTCTCCTTTTCCGAGATAAGCATGCATTTCTACCCTCCAATCTAAAACAAACTATAGCCTGGCCCTTAGCTATTTCTCACTAACAGATCTGTATACACATGATTAAATGTGGACTACGGAAAGACTATATCCCACATTTCAAAAAAAAGATTATTCTAAATTATGACTGTTAGCAGTTGAGCTAAATCCATACTGTCCCTGAACAAATATGGGCTCCAATCTGAATGGGTGCTCGAAGTGGGAAGACTTGCCAAGTGCCTTCTCTCTTTGGGCTCTGGGGATGCAACTGCAAGGAACATATGCTGTGGCTCAAAAAGTCTTCTGAAGGAAACTGCCTGGGAGTACAACAAAGGCCGCTTGCAAGAAGAACCTGGGTGACCAACAGACCACAGAAGCGACCAAGTTCTGCACGGCCCTGGGGTGCCCTGCCCTCACCTATCTCCAGGGCTGTCTGTCCCCTGGACCTATACTACTTGACCCCGACCGTTGCTCTGTCTGGGATTCCCCAGAGAGGAAAGGTAGTTTTGGGGGCCTTGTTCTTTTTTAAATTTATTTTAAGTTTACTTATTTTGAGAGAGAAAGAGAGAGAGAGAGGCAAGGTGGGGCAGAGAGAGAGGGAGAAAGAGAATTCTAAGCAGGCTCCACTCTGTTAGTGCGGAGCCTGACGCAGGGCTCGAACTCACGAACTGTGAGATCGTGACTTCAGTCGAAATCAAGAGTGGGACACTCAGCCGACGGAGCAGCGCAGGCGCCCCTTGAGGACCCTGTTGCTTTAGGCTGGGTTTGAGGAACCTGTGTAAGGGTCTGGAAGGGTGGGGGGCTGTCTCCTCAGGCAGACAGGTGACTCGGAGCACCACATCATTGCAGAGGGGAGAGGGTCCCTTTCACGGGCCCCAACTCAAATGTCTGGGCAATCATGAGAAAGGTCTGGAGGGGTACAGGAGGGGAGAGGAGGGAGGGGCGAGGGGAGACGGGAGTCTGGCTGGAGGCTGGGGCTCCAGGCAGAACTGGTGGGGGGCTCTGCCAGGAATTTGGTGGTCTGCAGGTGTGCTCTCTACATATAAATCGCAAACAAGGGGGAAAATTCAGACAGCATCTAGTCCGGAGATGTCAGACCACGCTTCCCACCATCCCCACCCTCACTCAAGGTGGCTGTCACCAACAATGGAGCCCGCGCTCTACCCACCAAGCCGGAGGCAAGCTCACCGTGGGCAGAACAAGGGCCAGGTAACAATGACGAATCACTCTGAGCTGCAAGACTGGTAAAATCCCGTGATTTCTGAGATTATTTTCTCGATCTGTATGAATCTGTCTACTGTACAGACGAAAAATACTCAACAAGAACTCACTTAATCCTCACCACAACTCCATGAGAAGGGACCATGGGGGAGACAAGGGGATAGCAGCATAAAGAAGTCTAGAACATTCATGTCAAGTCTAGAACTAGCCTCCTAGGGGCTCAGTTGGTTAAGTGCTCAACTTCAGCTCAGGTGGTGATCTCATGGTCAGTGAGTTTGAGCCCTGTGCTGGGCTCTGTACTGACAGCTCGGGGCTTAGACCCTGCTTCTGATTCTGTGTCTCCCTCTCTCTCTGCCCCTCCCCTGCTCATGCTCTCTCTCTCTCAAAAATAAACATTTAAAAAAAAAGTCTAGAACCTTCCTCCAAAGGGCACCCTGCTCTGGAGCACTCACTCCTCACCACTGTGCTGCCATGGCTCCCATACCGATGAGATTCCAGTTTGGGGTTTATCAGTGAGCAGGTGAGCATGTACATTCTAGAACATCTTACCCGTAGACTCCTGAAACGCCAACATTTTACAGGATATTAAAACCACGCTAAGAGACAATCACGCGGGAGGTGTAATCGCCTTTGTAAGCTTGCCAAGTCAGAGTGTAAGGGCTTTTATGAAAAGTTTCAGAAATGTGGCTTACGGGGCAAACGTTTATGGTCAACTGCCTTTTGATCTCTCATGTGAAAAATATGTACTTAGGTCTATTGCAGGAAACCTCACCACTTCCTTCCTAAGTGTTGGTCAGGAACACTAATTACCTGGCTAATTAGACTGTGAAACTTCCCTTACAGATGGCAAAAAGGAGCTATTTTCACCCCACAAAGTTCGTTGTGACATACGACCAAAAAAAAAAAAAAAAAAAGTAGATGGGTTTCAATGGTTTTATTGTAGCCACCACGAAGGACTTAAGCAAATCATATAAAAGTAAGTTAGAAACTAATGAAGAGTCTGCTCCTTCATAAGGGGGTGGGGGGAACCACCTGGTTCCATGGGGGTGAAGAGCTAACTCACGGGGCCGCGGGCCAGCAGCCACTTGGACAGGGGAGCCTGGACACCCAGCCCTGGACACCTGCTCCATGATGCAGGTCGTCCCGAAGGGCTGAGCAGCCCTCATGGGATCCGTGAGTTTTAGGTACTTGCTTCTCACTCACCTGCTGTCACAGGAATGCTTTGTTTTTCTTCTTCCCATAGACATTCCCCGCCCGCCTGGGAAAGCGCACGGCCCCCAGGGAAGCCGGAGGCCAAGGTCCCCCTTCAGCTCGGCGCTCCCACCACTGCAGACTGCCGCCGCTGCACGTTTGGCACAGGAGAAGCATGGGGCAGACACGGACGCTAAGAGCCAGCACTGCGGTCGGGGGAGGAAGAACCTCGGACTGGCAGGTACGAGCACAGAAGGGCTGCCAAGTGTGGGCCCTGGCGCCCCCGCCGCGTCCCCACCGCGCCAGGCCTCGCAAGCTCGTGCGCAAGATACTCACCAGCATCCAGGCTGCCGGTCGCTGCCGTCCAGCCCATGACAGGGGGGATGGCCCCAACGACGGCCCCGACCCACGTGTTGGCGATGCTGATCCTCTTCAACGGGGTGTAGCAACAGGTGTACAGGAAAATGTTGAAGACCCCCAGGGCGCCCGTGAGGGGGTTCACCCCCCAGGTCAGGAGCGCAACTCCAGGAACAGCACAGCAAGTGGCGAAGGACACGGCAAGCAGCGGGCTGAAAAAGAGCAGCGACCCAGAGCTGTCACTTTCCAGTCCAGCTGACCGTGCCGCGCAGGGTTGGAGCTGCGGGGATCGAACCATCTATCTACGTGGTGTCTTCCCGACTACGGGGCATCGAACCCTCAAAGAGGAGGGACCATGCCTGCAGAGGCTAATGGCTGCTCCTCTGATGTCTGCTGCCGGGGCTGACGGTAAACGGTCCCAGGTTCTGTCCCTTCCTGGCTGTGGAATGCGGGGCGCCCCTCTGCCCACCTGTAAAGCTGAGAAGGCTCCCTACTCACCCGCAGGCTGCGGCGAGGGCTGAGGGAGACTCTGCCTGCTGGGCACAGGGTTCCGCTTTACATTTAGTGCCAAGTAGGTGACGGCCCCAGATAAGCCACCCAGAGCACAGTACCCGCAACGTTTGGGCCAAGCTAGCGTCTTACCTCTGCCCACATCACCTGTGGGCATAGTTTAAACACATCACCTGATTAGCAGTAACAGATAACGACAGTGTGTCTGAGAGTATCTATCTGTGATAAATTACAGGCTTGGCAAGGGACCGGCCTGGTGCCAACAGCCACACGCCAGGGGCCGCTCCCCGTGGACAGCTCAGTTTCGGTGCCACAGCTGGTTTCAGAGCGGCGAGATCCCCGAAGGAGCCGTACCGTGTTATGTATGCAGCGAACACGGTTAAATACAAGTCTCCACCAGCCAGGACGATCCTATGCCGCATTTTCACCAGAGCCCATTTTTTTTTTTTTAATTAATTTATTTTGAGAGACACAGAGATGGCATAAACTGGGGAGGGGCAGGGAGGGAAGGAGAGAGAAATCCCCAAGCAGGCTGTCAGCACAGAGCCTGATGCAGGGCTAGAACTCACGAACCGTGAGATCATGATCTGAGTCGAAGTCAGACGCCGAACCGACTGAACCACCCAGGCACCCCCACAGCCCACATTTTATGGTGGATTTTATGTGCGATCTTATGAGACTTTTTATCAGGTGTGGATAAATGGGGCCTACGAGCTCATGATTATATGCATGTTTGTTTATTCTTTCTTAAGAAACCTGAGGAAGTCCCTCAAGCCTGCCTTCTCCTCGTGCAGGCCAAAGTCCCCCCCTCCAGAAGACTGCATAGGGCTCGGTGAACCCACAGCATAAGATCCTGTGGCCGCCCCTCCTGGGAGATGGAACCCAGCAGAGGGGGCTTTGGGATGGCAAAGCGAACACTCGAGAAGAGGTGGCTCCCCAGGGGCCAGAACGGAGAGGGCTTTTACCCATCCTGATGGTCAATTTCCATCCTGCCTCCTGGCGACCATGGGGCACGGGGTCCCCCCCTTCCACGGCACTCACCAAGGCCCCCTCGAACTTTTACTCTGCCCTGTCCCTCCCACCACTGTCTCTGCTCCGGCCAGAGAAAGCCCTCCGACCACACCAACGGGCCCCGCTTCCCAGAGGGGAAACTGGGAAGACGCCTCCGTGCTGTGATATTGCACACGTGCCAAGACAGGATTAAGATGGCCAAAAATGCCGTGCAGATGTTACGACTGCCGTCCTTCTCGAAATAAGGTCGTTTATAGCTTACAAGAACAGTGGGTTTTTTTGTTTGTTTGTTTGTTTTTTCCCTACAGGGACTGTAAAAAGCGAGTTTTATTTTGGGTGGGAGAAAAATGTGGCTCATAAACATTTTTATTTTTCCTGAATTGGACCTTGTGTTAAAAAAAAAAAAAAAGAAGAAGAAGAAGAAGAAGAAGGTTGTTTGCTCCTTCTAGGTCTGTGGAAGTCAGTTGGATTCAAAGGTATTAGTGTTATGAAAAGCCCTTTTAGAAAAGCACACATGAATTTAATTTATGGAGATAAAAGGCAATTTTACATGGAAGTGTAGTTTCTGTCCCTGGGAGGCATCACAGAAAATCAAGAGGCTTAATTCTGGTGTTTAAATCTGTGTGCTCAGGGGCACGGATGGAAATTGTGAAGATTAATAGAAACGAGGCTATTAACCCAGGTAGCTGGGACCATCCTGGCACGGAGATGCTCAAGGGACATGCTTCTCTCCCCGAACAAGGGGACCCGAATTGGTGGCCTTCACGGTTTTCTCACAGCATGGGCAAAGGTACTCTGATTGCAAACTCTGTGAACATTATCTTCCTGTGAAGTTTTCGTTTTCCTAAAATGTCTATTAGGAAAGCAATGTATGTTCTTTTCAGAAAACTTGAAGCTACAGAAAACTGCAAATAAGAAACTCTAAATTATTCAGTGAAAAAACCCTGGTTTATATCTTTTTAGCCTCTTTCCAATGATGTATCTATTTAAAAATAATAGAGAACACACCAAACTGTGGTTTTGTTCCTTTGTTTTAATATATCTTCTTTCAAAAGTTTATTTACTTTGAGAGAGAGAGAGAGAGATAGAGAGAGAGAGAGACAGAGAGAATCCCAAGCCGGCTGTGCACTGTCAGCCTGGAACTTGATGCGGGGCTAGATCTCATGACCTGAGCCGAAATCAAGAGTCAGATGCTTAACCAACTGAGCCACCCCGGTGCCCCTATGTTTCAATATATCTTAATAATTTCCCTGTGCTATTCAGAATTCTTTTGTAACACTATCATTAATAGGTACATGGTGGCCTATTCTGCGGATATAACACAATTAATTCAGTCAACATAGCCTTTTATGGACACTCTGTATTTCTCCTTTTAAATTAGAAATAACGTTGCCATACACACCTTATAGACAGACTGTTGTTCATAGTTCTGACTAGGATAAATCCTGAGGATAAATTCCCAGATGTACGACTGCAAGGTCACATGACATGCACAGTTTTAGGGATTTGACTGGTACCCCCAGTCTACGTCCCAGAGGGTTTAGGCTGGTTACACTCCCACCAGCAGTGCATGAGAAAGCCTATTATTTCCAGAACCCGTTTCAACACTGGGTATGGCATTAAATAGAAACCAAAAATTAACAATGTTTATTGAGATAGTGTTACCCCCCCCATTTCACAGAAGGGAAACTGAGGCTCAGATGGCCCTTGAACAATGAGAGGAATGGGGTGTCGACCCCAATGTACAGTTGAAAAATCCACGTGTAACTTCTGACTCCCCCCAAACTACTGATAGAACCAGGAGATCCCTTTTCACAGAGATACATAATTTACTGCAGAGACAAACTGCAGAGGTGACTAGTGCCATACATGGCACTTTATTATTACTTTTTAAATTCTTTTTTATGCCTATTTATTTATTTTGGATGGGGAGAGAGGGAGAGAAGACAGAGCACGATCAGGGGAGGGGCTGAGAGAGAGGGAAAGAGAGAGTCCCAAGCAGGCGCCACGCTGCCAGTGTAGAGCACAATGCGAGGCTCGATTTCCCAAACTCCAAGATCATGACCTGAGCCAAAATCAAGAGTTGGACACTCAACCCACTGAGCCACCCATGTAGCATTTTATTTTATTTTATTACAGTTTATTTTGAGAGAGAGAGAGAGAGAGAGCAAGAGGGGAAGGGCAGAGAGAGAGGGAGACACAGAATCCAAGGCAAGCTCTGAGCTGTGAGCACAGAGCCTGACATGGGGCTCAAACTCATGAACTGGGAGATCATGACCTGAGCTGAGATCAGGAGTCAGATGCTCAACTGAACGAGCCACCCCGGCGCCCCCGTGTGGCATTTTAAATGGATGCTCGCAACACGAGGTTGTTATGAAATTGTGACAGCAGCTAATTTTACGCAGTTATGATTTAATACTGCATCTTTACATGTGTTCACCTTTCTCTCCACTCAAACGACACCCTGTGAAGTCTGCAAATGTTTGTGTGGGTAAGTCTTGATGAATTTTCACTGTATATAATAGATTTGTGTATGTTTATGGTATATGATAGACTGGCATCTACAAATACATGTATGCATCCAGAACATACCTTTTTAATTTTTTTTGAAATCTCTAGGCTATGTGGTTTAGAGGCTTTTCAAATTGTTGCCAATCTCCAACCTTTTTTCTAATATATTTATTGAAAAAATTCCATATATATGTACCAAGTGACCTCTGGGCTATTTTTTAAAGTTTCATCTGACCATGAAATCTTTAAAAGTCATGGTGATATTAAAGCTCCTTAAATTTAGCCATTTTAGAGGTGCCTGGGTGGTTCAGTCCGTTAAGCGTCTCACACTGGCTCACGTCATGATCTTATAGTTCGTCGGTTTGAGCCCCGCATCGGGCTCTGTGCTGAGAGCCAGTTCGGAGCCTGGAGCCTGCTTTGGATTCTGTGTCTCCCTCATTCTCTGCCCCTCCCCTGCTTGTGCTCGCTCGCTCTCTCGGTCTCAAAAATAAGCATTAAAAAAAATTAGCCGTTTTAATAGAGATCTATTTCTGATGTAGAAGTAGATATTTAGTCGAGTGCATTCACTTCTCATCTCAGTTAAACACAACTATGATTTTCTGCATGGGTACACCTAAAAGTCCGAGCGAAATCTCAAAAGACTGGAAGGGCAATTTTGTCAAAGACTGACTTCTTGTTAATTTAGGTCAGGTACTCAGTACACTCCTCTTCCTAATTCTACCACTCAGCCCTTGATCTAAACCCCTATCTGCTCTCTCCCATTCCTGAATGGGTTTTGGAAAGGATCCCAAACCTGGAGAGAGAGACACACACACACACACACACACACACACACACACACACACACACACACAGAGTTATTTTCCCTTTTCTCATTTATTCTGTATTTAAAATTTCCTTAAACATTTTCCCCCATTATTCCTTCCGCTCTATTTACATCTGAGTTCCTCAGCAGGTTGCTTCCATTTCAAGTGCTGCTCGGAGGCCTGATTTCTAGAAGCAAAACCAAAAGAAAAGGCTAAGCAGGTTTCCCTGCGATTCCCTGGGCTGAGCGGTACCTGATGGGCGAGGGCTGAGCTTGGAGGCCCCGGGGGAGCCCCGGGTGCTGCCCACAGGTGGTCCCCGGCCCCACGGTGTCAGCATCACCTGGGGACTTGTGAGGAATCCAGGGGCTCTGGAG